TGAATGGAGGGATGGAGTACCTTACTGAAATCTAACTACCTACAAACAGACTTGGTTGTATTCCTCTCATCTGTTCTCAGATTTTTTCTTTGTTTGTTTGTTTTTAAAGGGATATATACTTATTAATTATTATTTTGACTAGTTCAAAGAAAACTAGGCTTTGTGTTTTGCATAAAAATCCACCATCTTAGTAAGGTTTCTAAGACTTGTGGAGAGATGCACATAGTGTTTTCTGATGTTACTTATTACTTTCCTTTGAAAGAACATATCTGAGAATAACAATCTTAAATTTTTATTTCATCATTATGGGAAGTTACAGCCAGGAGAATCCCACTTCAGCATAGAGGATTCTCAATCTTTCCATGGAGAGCTGGGATGTTTCAGCATTTTCACAGAATTCTAGTGAGCATAAAAACCGAAGGTCTTCAGAGAGATCCTGGTCTTCTGCATTTCCACTGTCAGAAGGAGATCTCTGTGAGAAGCAAAGAGAAAGAGGGAATGACGGAGGCAAGTCTGTGCTCATTTCTGTGATGCTGACAGAGATTGCAAGGACGTTGTTCCATGTGTAACAGAGGAGAGGGCATCTCAGACCAAGGCCACAGCACCTCCCAGACTTGCATAAGAGAGAGAAATATTGAAAAAAAACCCCTGATCTTATAAAAAATATCTGTACATTTAGTGTACAGTTATTTTATTTTGATTCTTGAGAACCACAGGTGTAGATGTGGCCCAAAAAAACTACTGATGATACCTAACATCAACTTTATTGACTCTTATATATAAAGTTACTCCACTGGTGAACCAGTAGGGACTGATCTACTTACTAGGTCTATCTCTACTGCATACTAGCTCATTTGTTTTATACATGACTCTCTCACCTCTTAGAGAAAAAAAAAGGTTGCATGCAGTAAGGTTACCACAGATTTCTATTTTTTTTTTCCTTGAGAAAAATTGTACACTGTTTCCATTTTAGGAAGGATTTAAACTTATTGATTTGCTTTTTCTTGAACGCTGCTGTCCACACATCTGGATTGGCCCTATATTATTCTGTATATCTTAGTATACATGATTTATCAATTCATATTCTGTAAACAAGAGAGCTCAACCCAAAAATCAAGCAGACACTTCAATTTGTACTATTTTAGGTACAGCAGCTTTGTGAGTTCATAAAATACCTATATGCAATTATATACCACTTCTAATGTTAAAAAAATATTTGCATGAAAAAAGGAGGACTGAATTTGGTAGGTTTTGCCGTACAATAGGATGACAACAAAAAGACTACAGACTTCCTGTGTTCTTGTTCACAGCTGAAGCTTGATGAAATTTGTCCCAGTGGCCACAAAGTTTGTTTTACGCTTGCCACTACTATATTCTCAGATGATGTAAATGCATGGATTTTACCAGTCTTCAGCATCCTTAACATGTTGATGAAAGCTAGGACTTAGCTATGGTATTTCCAGAAGATGCTGAGTCAAATTCATTCTGCATAACACCAGTGAGGAGACAATGGATTTCTAACAAAGAAGAATTCAGCCCATTATGCTTCTTGAATTCAGTCTAACCTCAGATTTTAGAAGAGGAAGGACTGAAAACTTATTAGCATTTGCAAGTGGTAGCTGGGTGAAACCTTGGGGATAACAGAAAGTAATTGTGGTGAGCACCTATACCCAGTAATTGTTCTGTAAGCTAGCACTTTAAAGAGGCAGCATGTTGACACGACAGTTTTGTTTGAAGTGTCTTCTCTACAGAGTGTCTTCTCCACTTTAAAATCCACCATTTCTGTTACTTAACAGGTGTTCATTTATTTTTCAGTTCTCACATCCCACCCTGAAACCAGCAGGTGCTCTACCACAAATGTATTTCAGAGTGTTCCTCCCTGGAGTTTTGTGATGGCTGTTGTAACTACAACATTTGTATATTCCACATGTCTGTAACAGTCTTTTAAAAATGTTTTCAGGTCATTTGCATTCGTTAGAGAATTTGAGTATTTAAAATTTAGATATATTTTTCACACTGTAACCTTAGGAAAATTCCTTAGGCTAGAATTTTCTAAATTATCTTTTAATAGGAAATACACATTTCAATCCCTCTAACAGCTTAAAAAAATCTTAGGCTTGGTCTTTTCATGCTTCAGTTCCTTGTTTGTTAAATCGAGGTAAAAGTTTACTTCTCAAGGGTATTATGAGAACTAATGCTGTGGAGACTGATTCTATGATGACTGGACAATATAGACAAGTGGATAAGTATCAGTTAGAAATACACACATTATTTTACTCTCCCTGAGGACTAGCTGTATATTTATACTTTTTTGGAAAATACCTTCATATATCTTTAAAACAAGGGGGTTATTTTCTTCTGTAACTACACAGGTTCTCTGAGGTTTTTTTGCCAGTGGCTAATTTATGACATGCCATGAGGTGTAGCATCAAGGCACCCATAGAGCAGGTCTCTTCACTCTTCCTTTTCAAGTCCTCATTTGTTCTAGTTTTAGAAAGATGCTACATATACAAAGTAATTCATTTTCCAATCCTAATATTATCGTTTTAAATTCAAAAGGGACTCAGTTAGTCATCATTACAGTTTAATGGCCTGAAACACTTTAGTGTTAATAAGTACACGAAAAAGTAAACTCCTACCTCTTGTAATTTAAACCATTACATGACTTTTTCAATAGAAAAGATAATTTAGGGAACATAGAACCTTATATCTTAGCTAGCAATTTTACAACAGCAGTAGGTATGAAAATTAAAATTCTCATTATGCCCTTTGTAGCGTCACATAATGTAAAGAAATTATGTCTGGGGTCTTTCTAGTCTATGAAAAGGGTGATGGAGGGGAATGAGTATGCCGTGCAATATATTTTACCCTGATTGGTGGGAAGAAAGGGGACAGAAGTATTCGTGGATTTTCACTCTGTTGTGATGCAAAAGCAGGTCTGGCCTGTCTGGAAGTGACTGACATGTCTTCTTCATTCACACTGAGCTAACTTTCAACAGGAAATGGCAACTGAATGATCATCATGGCTTTTATGGGCCAGGAGAGCAATCTATTCCTTTTCAGTTTTGCTTCAGATCTGTGCATGCTTTTTCATATGATGTCATGAAGGTTACACAATAGTGTAACCTCACATACATGAACTTCAATCTGTGGAAGAAAAAAACCACCAACCTAGGAAGAAGATATTGAAACTTCATATAGTATACACAAATCTGCAGGCTTTTTGCATGTAAGCGATTGCTTAAGAGTATCAATAAAAGTTAGAGGGATCTTTGCTGTAGACTCCTGGAATGTAATTTCAAAAGGATTTATAAAATTCATGCAATCTGTGTTTTATGATCATAAAACACTGCATCGTTGTAATCATTTACAGTTACAACTCAGTTCTTTGGCATATGCTCAGCATGGAATACATGAATAGGGTCTTTTTTTCAGTGAGATGAATACTTACACATTTATTGTTTGCAGGATCAGGTCCAAATCATGTTACAATTACATTTGTGCCTAAGAAGACAATGAACGTTGACTATTTCTCTGGTTGTATAGGCAGATTATTATATTCTCAGACTGTAAATTCTTGTTGGTTCATATGAACTTCTGTACTATTCTGGAGGCAGTTAACTTCCTGCAGCTGATATGTTTATAATCTATACAAAAGACTCTTCAGAATATTAATGTCTAGAATATATGCACAGAGCATATTTACTCAGCTACACCATTTCCATTACAATGGATGGGTGGTACTGAGTATGCAGTTGCAGAACTGTTCTATTGGAAGCTTCCTTCATTTAGGGTACACTTACAAATTAAATTACTGATGGTAAAGAAAAATCTCCTGCCAAGTAAAAAAAAATCATAGCAAAGAGCACTGTAAAAATGTCATGATGAGTGCTGTTTTGAGTGAATGTGAATTAAAAAATGTTTTTCCCTGTAGATTCGTCAGCTAGAAAAATGAAAGCTCTCACATTAATATTTGATTAATTCTGTGCTGTTTTACATTACACTGAAAACTATAACTGATTGTTTCTATATATTTAGGAATTTACATGACTTTTGTCATTTCCGTATTTCTGAGAACTTCATGCTCTTGACTAGATGTTTTCACAAAATCTGAGCAGGATATAGAATCGTTATCCCATTTCACAGGTATGGGACTGACATAGAGAGAGAAACTGTGGCTTGTCTTCACTGAGTTCCTACATGAGGCTATGGTTAATACTTGATTTTTGATTGGGCACCCAAACAATTATTTAAGCTCAATTTAAATAGTGTTTCTGGGCTGATCCATTGGATTGGAGTGAGTTGGACTGCAAGTCAAGTGCTGCTGTTAGGGATACTCAAAATTGTAGCAGCCGGAGCTTGAATAACTCATTGAACTCATCACTGTGGGTAGCTCCATTGCTATTGATCAATGCAGTCACTCTTTGTCCAACTATGGTAGTTTGAACAGAATAACGTGAGTCTGTTAACTACATTTGTAGTGAAGACAAACCATTAAGTGACTTTTCCAAGGACATAAAAAAAGAAAGCAATCTGGGTCTTCTGAATCTCATCTGTTTTCTGTCCAATATCTGCACTGCGACCTTATGCATAGACATTGCTGAATGATTTTGTACTGATGTTAACAGGCAATAATTCTTGTGTTGCATATTTTTCATTAATGACTAGCATTATTGGAAAAAAAACCCAACAATCCCTCCCCTGACAATTTGTGAAGGTTTCCCTTCAACAGTAAATATTATCACTGGTGATGTTAATGAAGACGTTAGTTTCACAGCATTTGAAGTACTGAAACACTCCACTGTTAACTAGCCTAGTGGGGTTTATGCTAATGTAAAATGTAATAAAGTAGAGGCCACTATCTCTTTAAGCTGAAAGAAAGGAAACTTGTTTCTACTTCCAAGGGATGCCTAGTGTGTGCTTATCTAATTGACTGTGTATTTTGTCTAGGTGTTGAGGGAAAGCTAAGAGAATGAAGGCTCTAAGTCCCCAGTGGAAGCATGGTATGGCGATGCAGTGCTGGTGCTGAATTGTTCTCTCTGATGGCTCTATGGGAGTGGATAGCACTGAGTCTTCATTGCTGGGTTTTAGCAGTTGCTGCTGTTTCGGATCAGCATGCCACAAGCCCCTTCGACTGGCTCCTCTCTGATAAGGGACCCTTCCATCGCTCACAGGAATACACAGATTTTGTGGACAGAAGTCGACAGGGATTTAGCACAAGATACAAGATTTACAGGTATGAAGCAAAGGGAAAGCAATTACAGAGATATCATCCTTAGAAGTTGTAAACTATCTACAAGGGCTTCCTTAAGGGAAAGTTTCAGATGTGGGAACAAATCCATAGACACTAAATTAATTGCTGAAATATATGCAAGGCCATATATGCACTGTGTACTACAGAAATGCCTGCTTGTGTTATTTCTATTTTGTTTAAAGAACTTTTGGTAATTGATTATGTTGCTTTGGAAAACATTGTTGTTTACTACCTACTCTGCCCTAGTGACATACTAAAAAATGTCCTAAGGTATTCAAACACCATCTTTGAATGCAGAAGGCTAACATGGAACACCTTTGATCATGCAGAAAGATCCCGTTCAATTGCTTTCAGTGTGGCTCAAGACATAAGCTGAGACTTTAAGAATTAAATTGTGGCTCCATGGATACTGCTGGCAAAGCATGGACTTCATTGTACAAATCAGGGCATTTCAAAAGTGACTCAAAAAGTTTCATGTTAGTTTATACCAGTGTTTTGAGAAGCAGTTTTCTCATCCCTGAGGGACTGAGCAGTAAGAGCCACTGTGCATTTCTACAGAAGTTGCAGATGTTTGCTCCATCACAAAACTCAGCATTAGGCTGGCCCAATTCAGACTGAATAGGGGAAAAAAGAAAAAAAACAAGGGAAGACTTCAAAAATACAGGTCTGCTTGAGAATTTGTGCCTTGCTGTAGAATTGCTTTCATGATACTTTTGTTACCTGTCATTTTCTACTCTTTTGAGGCAGCACTGGTGAAATATCTTCTTAGTCATTTGCAAGAGGTATAACTCAGTAACAGGTTTATCAAGAACATGGGAATGAAAAAGAGGGTTCGGTTTAATAGTAGTGACCTAATGGCAAATACAAAGACGGGAAGAAATGAGGGAGCATGAGAGATTAAGGACTGAGAAAACAAATCTATAAGCAGAGAGACTTTTTCACTTCATGTTATAGATCCCTCCTGGCAGCAAAGAGAAAGGGGTAGCAGCAGGGCAATATAGGACAGGTTGTTAACTTCCCTAATAACTCCAACCTATAAACACAGACCATTTTGGTATGGAAAGACACAGGCTGATTTAATTTAAAACCATGAAACAGTTTGTGCAAATTTCATACCTATTTAAAATCATTATTCCCTAGTGGTATTTAGCTCTTTAGAAGAAGGTAAAAGTGATATATGCCTATATGTATATACTATCCTTTAGTTCCATGTCCAGTGGCCTGTGACAAAACTGCTGGTCTCAGTTCGTAAAGACTTTATTTTTAAGGAACTTACTTTATTTTCCTTTCCTAAATACATGCAGTAGAGGGCACTCTGTTGCAGGTCAATTTTGTAGTGGGCTGCTTTGCCATATATAGAGAAATTAAACACATTTTGAAAATAAAGCGTGATTTGGAAATATGCTTGATGAAGTGGCTTGTCTTAACAGAACAGCGCTGCCCAATATTTACTGCATTTTAAAAGCCAGCTGTCAGGACCAATAATGTAAAGCCTATAATGCAGAGACTAAGGCAGCACATTTTATTCCTATTATTCTGTATTAGTCAACACTGAACCAAAATTATCTTGCTAAAACCAGGAAAGATTGAATTGTATTTCATTTCAGCTCTTTCAATCAAGTCTTTGAGAATTTTTCTCCTCTCAGCTATCATTACAGAAGCATTGTTAAGTTTTATAGATCTGTGATCATATCTCTAATACTTATTTGGATTTGTGCATAGGTTTCAATTGACTTTAATTTACACAATCCCACAGAAAGTGTTTCTTGTGTTTATTTCTATCCTCTGCCTATTCCTTTCAAGAAATGGGGTGGGAAGTCAAAAGAGGCACAAGCTACCTGAATCAAAAGAAAAGCTGCATTTTTTAATTTAGTCTTCCAAATACAAACATTACTGCAAAGTTTCCTTGTAAAATATGGTCCCATTAGTAAGTAGTACAGAACATGGTGACCTTGTTATGAACCCCACACTGTAAATTTAATCCCTGTTGCTTTTCTATGAGCTTTCCCAGGCTGTAGTCTAATTGGTCTGTTCATTCCCTCACCTATCTTTTACCTAATGAAAATGATCCCTCAGGGCCACAGTCCTGATTTGAATGGAGAGGTAAGGAAAGGGAAAACACAGGCCTGCATTGACTCAGCTGAGTCATATTAACAAGAAAGAAAAGTGCCATTCCAAACAGTGCTAATAGGAAGGCCTCCTTTCTGTTTGCTCTTCACTTCAGCCCTTAAAGTCCACACCTGAGACCTGACATTTTAAGAGTAAAGGAGAAGGAAAGTCATCACACTTCATTTTAACATCCATGGCATGTCAGACAGAAGATGACTGAAGACGTTTTTTTTCCCTTTTTTTTTTTTTTTTCCTTTTAATGGCACAAATGTGGCAAGTAGCTGCAGAATACATAAAGGTATACCTCTCCTTTGGGGAAGGAGTTGGCTCCAAAAGAACTGATGGGACTGTGACAAGTAGCAGCTCTCTTTCTATGTCTCCAGAGCAATGGCATCCAAGCCATACATAGAAGATGACCCGTTGTATCTCTCTGCCAAAACCTATCAAGTACAGCTGCCCATAGGAACTAGCTCAGGATGACCAACCTAACACTGGGACTAGGTGTTTACAATTAACAGGAATTAAATGGTCTCAATAAAAATAACATAAAAAGAGCAGTGAGTTGCACATACTGCATGTAGTACTTTAAAATGTGTTGGAGGAGATTTCAGC